TAGACAGTTTAATGTCAATTAACTTTTTTTGTTACTTATTTTTTTGAGACAGAGTCTCACTGTGCAGTTCAGGCTGGCCATGAACTCACTATGTGGCTGAGGCTGGCCTCGAACATGCAGTGATCCTCCTGCCTTAGCCTCTTGAGTGCTGGGATTACAGGTGTGCACCACCACACTCAGTTATGTCAGTTAACTTTACTGAGTTATTTATTTAATAATGTGATTTCAATGCCAACATAAAACATTCTATAGAAGGCATTTTTCAACCAGCACATAGATTAAACAAGGTACAAATTTAAAGGTTTGAAGTTAAGTTTCCTTTTGAAAAGAGTATCTAATTCACTGAATTTGTGTCCCAATTAGTGTTATTAAATCTGATTAAATAGAAGGCCATTGTGATTTGGAGGAAAGCACTGATGAAAAATTAATAGGAATGAAAAAAAAATGAAGTCCAAAGAAATGATTTTCAACACACAAGTTTTGTACTTGCATTTCTATTTTAGGTTTAGTCATGATTACTAGTTAATAGTATGGTGGGACCACAAATACAACTGGGGGAAAATGGTATTAAAGTATTAATAAGAATATTTCTGATATCATATATGAAATTTAAAAAAAGTTTACCAGCTGGTTCAATACTATTGATGGATTTCTGGAGAAATAAGAGCAAGTGAGAAATCATTTTTGGCAATTGTGTTAGTTGCTACGGTTCCCTGGTTTTTGTAACAAAATATAGAAAAACAGGCCTTTCTTCTACCATAAAAACTGGTCTGAATGAGTAAAGCACTTTGTTCACCATACCTGTAAAAGTTGCCAGTGCTATAAAATGTTTGCCACTATGAATAGAAGAGGACTCTAGAAAGTCTCAGAATACAGTAAATGATGGGGTACTTTTGCTACTTTTCAGAAGTTAATCAGATGGCTTGAATCCTCAGGTGTAACTATTTGATGCTTGACAGTACCATTGATAAGCAATTTCATTTCTTTTTATTGGGGGGGGGTGGCTGGGGATTTACCTCAGCAGCACAGAGCCTGCCTGGCAAGCCCAAGGTCATGAGTTCGATTCCCGGTACCGGAAAAACAAACAAACACAAAAAGTCTTTTTTTGTTTTTGGTTGTCTTTTTGAGACAGGGTCTCGCTACGCAGTTCAGGCTGGCCTTGAGCTCACTTTGTAGCCCAGGCTGGCCTCGAACTCACAATGATCCTCCTGCCTCAGCCTCCAAGGGTGCTGGGATTACAGGGGTGTGCCACCAGCAATTTCATTTCTATTATTTGTTTTCCTTAGCAGGTAAAAAGTCTTGTTCATATCTGGAAATTTTAAACTTAAATTTCTCTTCAACGTTGTTTTCTTTTTGGCACTCATTTTTGTCTTAGATTCCTATAATACTTTAAAGACTCAAGTTCATTTTTTCTTTACGGATGGTAGTGTTGCTGGTAGTTTTGGGCTTAGTGCTGATAAATATAAGGGAGGTAGTCAAAGTTTCATGAATTTTACTTTTTTTTTCTTTTTTGCTCTTGGTGTATTTAATATTTACAAATATTAATTTTTAAAGAGGGAGGATCTTATTTTGTTGTCAAAGCTAGCTTTGAATACCTGGGCTCAACAGATCATCCTGCCTCAGCCAATCCAATAGCTGGGACTATGTATACACAGCATCATGCCTGGTGGCCCTGCCACAGCTTTAATTAGTATAGGTCTGCAGCACACAATGTAGTATACAATGTGGACCTGGTACATGGCATAACATTTTCAATCTTACACCTTCTCTCTACTGCCTCTCTCCCCTCACTTCTTGATCCCCTTTCCCTCTGAGGAAGACCTATCCCTCTACTTCCCAGTATCCCTTATTTTGTTTACTTCTTTTTTCTTCTGATCACTGTAACAGAGAACACATCAAACATATTTTTAAAATAAATTTTCAATTCTGAATCTATTGTAGTATTTTTTGATTTTAAATGGTAGACTATAAGAAAAATAATACACTTCGATTACCAACTTACAGTCCCTATTCAATCTGGGAAAAATATTTTCCTCATTACAGTACCTGGCTAAATTTATTTTTCTGCTCTGAAATTGTATGTTTCAAACTCTAATAAAGAGCAGCTTCACTGCAGGAGGCAAAGCTACTTCTTTTCTCTTACCACTGAAATCAGAATTCTGAAAAGATCCTTGCTTAAAGATCAGTATGACCCAGGTCACACCATTTAATACTATAGAGAGTGCTATGTAAATTATAAAGTATCACATGTGTAGAGTAAAAGCATAAAAGATTTATTTTTCAGAAAAGAACAATCCTTTGATATACCTTGAAGTAGGTTAATGAAACACCAGATCAAGATTGTCACTTAATATGTAAACCTAGGTTAATATCAGTTTCATAAAAAACAGAGAGCAACAAGGAGGTAAAAGGACATACAGTAGCACTCCCTCCAATACAACACACATGTACAGACAATACAAGAGCCACACAGTCCCACTAATGTTACAACATTCCACATACATGTAAGTATGTTTAAAGAAAGTGATCAAGGTTGTAAAGCTATCTGAAGGCTGTTGTTAAAAGAAGTAATCTGGTGCATTCTGGGGAAATGTTTAGGTAAGCTTTAAAGCTTTTAAATCAGAGCCTTCCCTTCTAAGGGTTTTTTTTTTTTTTTTTTTAAACATTCTCAGGTGCCTTCAGAAGGTATTCTCTACATGGGGTTTTACTTTATTGTCTTATTTCTAATTTTAGCTATTTATTGTGATTTTCCCCCCTATATTTGTTTGTTTTTGGTAAAGGGGAATCAGACCCAAGGGTCTACCACTAAGCTACACTCAAGTCCTTTCTATTTTGTATGGTTTTGTTATGTGGTGTAGGCTGGCCTTGAATTCACTACCCTGCCTTTGTGCTTGAAGCAGTTGGGTTACAAGCATGTGCTGCCATCTCTAGTTCATTTGCTTGTTTTTTTTTTTTATTTACTGAACAATCTTTCAGCTCCATGTTTCTGAGATTGTGGCACATGTGGGCCCCACAATGGTGTGCCATGGCTATATGAAGCTATTAAGATATATCTGGAACAAAATCTGAATAGAAAGATTATAGTGCAGTGGTTAAGAGTGTGGGCTCTGTCAACTTCCTAGTTAGAATCTTCACTCTGCCACTTGTGCTTTGGCAAGTTAATCTATTTGCTTCTAAGTGCTTTAGTCTGAAAAAGAAAACGTTAGTGTCTACTTTATAGTAGTCATGGGAAATAAATGAGTATTCAAAAAAGTGATTAATTCACAGCAAACTTTTAGCAAGTATTCATTATTACTTCATTAACATTATTCATTTTTCACCCTACTGGAGAAACAGGAGACACTGGGAGCTCTGGGATAAGTTCAGGTAGGAGACAAAGAATGTCTCATTGAAAAGGTGACTTCAAGGAACTGAAGTATTAAGAGAAAGGTAACTGTGGATTTCTGAGGAGAAAATTCAGAAAGTAGGAAGAACAAGTACAAAGGCTCTAAGGTATGGCTTCTATGATTAACGAAGAATAAGGTGAGTAGGGCTGGAACAGCGTGAGCAAGATGGTGCATAAAAGAAAAAGAGCTGGTGGGGAAGAGGAAAGCAGAGCATGTAAGGCTTCACAGCTTCTATTCTGAAAGCATTAGACAGTCCCTGTAGGCAGAGGATCTGACATATGTTTTAAAGAGTGTCTCAATGGTTGCTAAGTCAAAAGAAGATCGCAAGGAGGCAAAGGTAAGAGCAAGGTGGCTACTGCAATAATCTACCTGAAACTAAATAAGCGGAGTGTTTCATAGAGAACAGGACGACCGACTAAATTGAATACTGTAATCCATACATCAAGGAAAATGAGGGCTGAAAGATGTCTGCTGGATGTAGTAATAATCTTATCACAGATGACCTTAACAGAAGTTCTGGTTGACTGCAGTGGGAAAAATCCTGAATGTAGTAGATCCAAGAAAGAATGGAAGGAAAAAAATTGGGGATGGCACATTTAAGAAATATGTTTTTTATCATATTTGAGTTAAAATATGAATAACTGTTAAAACATAAGTAACTGTTAATATAACTGTAATATTCAGCTCAATATAAACAACTGCTTCACTTGATAATTCTCTTATCAATTATCTTTCTCAAAAGCATTTGCTCTCCATTTAAGTATCAGCAACTACTCAAACTACTCAGGAAGCCTGCTATTTTGACAAGAGGAAAGGAGAAAATACTTTGGGGAAAGAAGAAAAATAATAGTATATTAAAATTCATGCACTGCTCGAACTAAACAAAAGATGGTTCCAGTTAATTATAGATATGTGGAAAACATAATTTTTTTTTTTTTTTTTGGAGGAGGGAATCAAACTCAGGACCTTGCGCTTGCCAGGCAGGCGCTTGTGCCACTGAGCATTATATCCCTGGCTGAAAATGTAAATTTTAACACAATTTCTAGTGTAATTAAAATCAGCCAGGGACCTCTGAAACACACATGCACATGTATGCACACACATATGCATGACTTTTGAGAGGCTGAGAGAGATAAGTATCAGCAACAAGATTCTATTTTTTTCTTTCCATTAAATTATTCTAGGACACATAGCAATTTAGACTGACAGAACGTAAGACTAAAAATGTCGTATCAGAAAAAAGAAAAATTTTATTTTTTAAATACATAGTCAAAGAAAGCAGAATCAACTAATCTCATAAAATATGTTTCTATGAGTTTTCATTTGTAGATTTTTTAAAGGGAAGCCAGCATCACCACAGATACAAGAAAAAGGGAAAAGAAAATGTTACAAACCATTAAAAAAAGCCAAAACCCTAAAGTTGACTATTCTTAAGAGCTGATAACACTATCTAATATATGATAATAAAACTGTAATTTAAATTTTCAAGAATGCTTCCAAATGTTTGTTATTGGGGATAATCTTTAAAAGACAAAGCAACGCTGATACCCATAACTGCTATAAAATCAAATACATCCAGCACAGGACTTATCCTTCCCTTAGTACCAGTATTACCTTGTGTGTAGGCAGCATCATCAGATCCCATGCTCAATTTTCGTGCTTCACTTATTCTATCCACATGTGCTAATGTAGGGTCCGTGAGGTGCTGAATATTTTCTGTTTCTACATAATGATCAGGATGGTTCAGAAGATTTGTAAGTTCAAAGGTAGGGGAAACAACCCCTGGTGAAACAGCAGGGGGTTTATTGGGAGAAACTGTAATTTTGAAAGTATATTTTGTATTGGGTTGAGTGACTATCACTCGAGGAGAAGTTGCAGCATTATTCCCTATTGCTCGACTTTTGGGAGGGTGGTGATGAATAAAGGTAGGACCCATGCTCACTTGCCCAGACATATTCCTGGAAGCAGCAGATGCCCCAGAGTTTGTGGATATGAAGACTGTGGGCTGATTCCGCATGCCTGATTCATCTCCTGTGGTGGCATTAGCTGAAATATAAACCTTAGGTTGACTACGGGAGATCATCTCATCAGTACTTGGGGGACTGGCAGCTATGTAAACAGTGGGCTGATTTCTATTTAGGGTCTGGCTGTTGACTGAAGAGGAAGTGTTGGAGGTTCGAGGTCCAGAAGAACGCAATTTTGAAGAACTGTTTCTTTGTGGGGGTTCAAGTTTGATTTCAATCTGGTTTTTTCGAGGTCCTGTTGAAATATTCTGAATGTTATATTGGCTATGAGCAGAAGACTGTGAGCTACCAGATGAATGAATTGTTGGCGGTTGTGGAGTAGTAGGTGAACTGATGGGCATGTAGACATGAGAGGTCTGATGGCCTTGTTGACTTGGCTGTTGGGCTGAGGTATGTGTCAGAGGATTAGATGCAGGATAAGTAGTCCAGGGACCAGGCTGAGAAGGCTGATAAACTTGTTGAGGGTTCATGGGATTAAACTGAGATACCCAGCCAGAATGCTGCTGTGTTTGTCGAGTTGTACCACTAGGAGTTGTAATGTAAGGCCTAATGTAGATAGAATTTCCCTGTGGACTGTTAAGTACAGGTGGAGGTACACCATGTATGTGCAAAGATGTAGGAGTATTACGACCAGTCTGGATATTTGGGGCTAAGGTTACCATAATGGGATTAAATCTGGGAGTTTGCTGAGAAAGGCTGGATGTTCCTTTGCTGCCTAAGTGAAATCCAAGATGTGGTGCTGAATTTGAAGCACCAGATGTACTGGACATTCCAAAAACATTAAAGCCTTGAGGAACTTGAGCTGGTGCTGTTTGTGGCTCCTGTTGAAACAGTTCATTATTGGACTGACCACCTTGAAGTTGTCCATCACTAATGCTATGCATTAGAGTCCTACTTCCATTCATTCTATTTCCTTCTCTTCCATGGTGGTAAACATTCTCTGACTGTAAGTCTAAGTTGAGAGAAGTCATGTGATTGCGTAGACCAGAAATTCCAGAATCATCCGAAAAATTCAAGTCTCCTTCACCATAAAGATACCTTGTACTCTCCTGAGAGAGAACAGCACAGCAGGCATCCAGGTTATTATTATTCTATTAAAAAAAAACTTGATGTTAATAATCAGAAGGAAATAAATACTTAAAGACTATCATCACCAAAAAATACCATACAATAACAGATACATTTGAACCTTTTTGAGAACTATTTTTCATGCAAATAGCTGAATTAAAAATCCTCACTACTAATGTAATGGAAAAACTCTTATTCTTAACAAAAATGAATCAAATCATTATTGTTTTAGGAGGTACTATTTAGTAAAATGCACCATGCAAATGCAGTAAAATTATAACCTAATTAAAGTACAATTTCAATATTAAATAAGGTAATCATTCCACTTAAGTGTATACTACTGTATAATTAAGTATTTTTTTAAAAGTTAAGTGACATAATTAAGGTTTTTTAAAGTACTTAGAAGGAAAATTCTACCAATGCATGCATATTCATGTGCTATACATATTTTTTAAAAATTAATGACCCTTTAAACAAATTCATTTGTAGTATTTACATAAAAATGTTCTAAAATTCTTGCCAAAGTCATCTCAATCCACATGCTGCCTCTCGTGTAAAATATTTACAGCAGTATCTCAGCTCAAAAAGCAAAGCATTAGGCAAAATTCTGTTTACAAACTACACTGGGTGACAAACATGACTGTGGCCATCTTTCCCCAAATCATAGGATAAATTAAGTTTGTGAACTGAGGCACTGCTGCATCTATATATGAATTATAAGTGCAAGGTAGCCCGGAGAAGCCTAGTTCATATCTTTGACTTTACAGAGCTCCATAAAAAAGTATCTCGGAGAAAAGATCTTCTAAACAACACCTTCAACTGCACAAGAAATAACACCACAGATCAACAAATGGGGCTACATCAGACTAAAAAGCTTCTGTACAGCAAAAGAATCAATCAGTAGAGTGAATAGATACCCTACAGAATGGGAAAAAAACTTATGCCAGCTACTCCTCAGACAGATGACTAATATCTAGAATATACAAAGAACTAAAAAAATTAAACCATCTAAAATTAGAGATACAGTCAAGAATTGGGACAAGGAGATGAACAGATACCTCACAGAGGAAGAGATACAAATGGTCAACAAATATATGCAAAAATGCTCAACATCTCCGGCAGTTAAGAGAAATACAAATTAAAACAATGCTAAAACTCCATCTTACTCCAGAAAAAATGGCAATTATTTTTAAGAAATCAAACAATAACAAATGCTGGTAAGGCAGTGGTGAAAAAGTAAGCCGCCTTCATTGTTGGTGAGAATGTAAACTAGTACAACCATTATGCAAATCAGCACAGAGATTTCGCAAAGAACTGAAATTAGAAATTCCATATGACCCAGAGATCCTTCTGCTAGATATCCTCTCAGAGTTTAAGATACCATACTATAGCAATACATACATACCAATATTTATAGCAGCACAACTCATAATAGCTAAATCCTGGAAACAACCTGTATACTCATCAATAGATGATTTGATAAAGCAAAAGTGGTATCTATAGACAATGGAATACTACTCTGCTACAAAGAATGACAGACTTGAGACATCTGTAGGAAAATGGATGCATCTGGAAAATATAATGTTGAGTAAAATCAATCAGAAACACGAGCTTAAGTACTAGATGGCAACTCTAATTTGAGTGAGGCAAAGTACAAACAAAGAGATTAATAAAGATGGATAGAGACAAGACGATGGATCTCTTGCAATAGGAAAGTAGACCAAGGGAAAAAGTATGAGGGGTGAGAGGGAAAGGGAAAATAAGTAGAATAAAAACATACCATGCACAGAAACCTAATAACCTCAATTAATGTAAACATTATATGTTATAACATGAGCTAAGATTAATAATAACAACAAGAATGAAAAATGAGATGGGGAATTGGAGAAGGAAGAGGGAGGGAGGGAGGGAGGGAGGGAGAGGGCAGGGGAAGGGGATTAAAGAAAAGTGGTATATACATGTAACCACTTCCTAAGATGACTGTGAACTGCATGAACTGTAAACATGTACTAATAAAATAAAAAATTTTTTAAAAAAATCTATTGCAGAGAAATAAAACAAAAATACAAACAAAAAACAAAACTAGGTTGCTTTTAAAGAACGTTCCAAAGAAGTAGACTAACCACTAGTCATAAATCATCCACAAAAATATTAACTGAACAGCTATCATATGCACAGCACTGTTAAGACTGAACTTTTCCTCTAGAAGAGCCTGCAACTCAATTTGGGAAACAAATGATGATTTCTGAAAAAGCAACATTACTACATGAGAGTGTGCTAACTAACATGTGGTACTGAAGTTCAGCATGGTTCATACTGTAGGCTACTGTGAGAAAGGACTTGGTTAATGGGGTAGGTATGGCCTGACAGTATCATAGGACTTGTGGGGGGAAAAAAGAGTTCTTGAAGGGTATACAATGAGTAAAGGACAAATGTAAGGGTAGAAAAAAGGCATGTTCCAAACAGGGTGACTAGAGCAGATGTCACTGGAGTTAGAAGTTTGTATCACGAGTTTTGTGAAATGAATTACTGCAAAAGCAGGCTAGGAGTTAATAATGAAGTTGAAAACTCTAGTATAGAGTTTGGCTTTTATTATAAACAATGGAAGAGCTACTGAAGGTAGACAAATAGAGAAGTAGACACACAAAGGGTATTTGGGGAAGGTAATTCTTTTCATACTTAGGATGAAGGGAGATGACTATCCTTTCTGACAAAACAATAGAAGACATGAGCACAACACAATCTGGACATAAGTGAGGAAAAATATTCAAAGAGAACTGGAAGACTAGGAACCTGCGAGAAAGGGGAGAGTTTTAAGCACTTAAAAATAAAGAAATGTTAAAATATTGACAAGCAGTCTGATATGAGATAAAATTGTATGAGGAAGCATGGGGCAGCAAAGGCATCCTGCATTTTTGTTAAGAAATGATAGTTCACACTGAATAGTTAATATGAAAGAAAAGGTTAGTAAGGAATGGTTAACTCTTTCCTCCCAGAACCAACAATTTTTATCTTTCATGATATAAAAATCATTTTATTCTACTCATAACTCTGAATTGATATCCACCAGTTTTCAATTAAAGTTGAAAAAGTGATCATAATCTTTATTGACTAATAAAAATAGCCATTTTAAACAGACTTCATCTTTTGTCAAACCTAACAGGTGCTTCTGCTAACTTTATTGCCATGCCTAGTAAATCCTCCCTACCAAGCTCTCAAAGACAGAGACCTATCTTTCTTTCAACTTCTGTCATTGTTCCCAAGTTAAAATGTTTATTCCTTCCAAGTCCAGTTCTATATTCCTTCTGTAAACATTTTATATGTATTTGTACAAAGTCTTCCTCTCTAATTGTGAGGCTATCAAAAATCCTTTCAATCCTTTATAATTATTTTTCTCCTCCTGGTACTGGGAATTGAACTGAGGATTTTGCGCTGTCAGGCAGGCACTTGTGCCACTGAGCTATATCCCTGGCCCTACAATTACTATTTAATATGTTCATGCTAAACAGCAATATTTTAGTCCTACATATGCCACAACTCATGTGGCTTCATGGTACTTCATTAGGGGCTGTAAAATGGTGATACTTTTCATATTCCAACTGTAAGATGTCTTCATTCATTAGCATCAATTCTTCTTGAAGACTTACTCTTCTCAACTATTTGGTTACTCTTTGCATAGAAGAGGCAAGATAGTTTTTAAAGCTGGTACCCTAGAAACTTCCAAAGCTGGCTATGATTTATTTTTAGCATTACTAAAAACCCCTAAGTATTTGAAATGCTTTGTGCTTATCATATGTTCAGGCCAGTAGGAACAGCTTCATGTTGGCTCCTGTGTACATATGACATGAACTGAGCAGAATTTCATAGCTTTCTTGCTTTCTGATATGACAAGATATAAAAGCTCATCTTGTACAAGTCCAGTTCTGAAATCAGCCATCTCCCAAAGAAGCCTTGATTACTTTTAGTGGGAAACTGTAAAAGCCTTTGCTTAAATGTATCAAAAAGGGTGGGATGTGAGTTTTTAAAGATTGAAGATCATGCACACTTTTTTGTATACAGCCAGAAATCAGCACTGTTTTCAAAACTACAAAATAATCTGAATCATAACTTCCAGTTTCTCCTTCATATTCCTTAAACTTTCTCAGATAGTATCAGAGGAAACCCAATGATTACACTTCGCACACTGATGATTCATTCCTTCAAACATGTAGTGCCATCTACTTGGCAGGCAGAAAAGTATACAATTGCTAATCTCCAGGATTTCAGCCTAATGGATCAGATTAACATATGCATGTAAATACAACGCAGAATGATGGAGGTTAGAAATACAGATAAGTCTGTGGGTGGAGGCCATCTGAAAAGGTGTCAGCTATGGAGATAGGACTTAAATACTAAGTTCGACATAGTACTGAATGAGTAGTACTTAATGAATTATTTTAGGAAACAATTTAGCATTTTTAAACATATAGGTTTCTCATATGAAAATTTTAAAGTAGTGAAAAATTTAGTTTAAAATGGAAGTGCCAATCTTGCAAAATTTCCACACTACTTTATAGTATGATTTAACTGCAAAATTAAAATCACAAATTTTAAAGTTACAAATCACACCTGCTGGCAATATAGCTATCTTAGAAAATCTATAGGATCAAGAGGTATGAGTACATTAGTTCTAAAAAAATCTGAGCAATAAACAAAACCAAGAAAAGAACAGAAGAGGGATTCTTCTCTAAGAATCAGGACATAAATTAAGAACACACACAGGGAAGCAACCTGGCATGACCCTTTTCTTTTTTGTTTGCTTGTTTTTTTGTCTTTTTGAGACAGGGTCTCACCATGCAATCCAGGCTGGCCTTGAGCTTACTTTGTAGACGAAGCTGGTCTCAAATTTGAGATCCTCCTGCCTCAGCCTCCTGAGTGCTGGGATTACAGGCGTGTGCCACCTCGTCCAGCGACCCTTTTTTAAAAAGTTCTGAACTAGTCACTATATAGAGGATCTCTCAAGAGAACACCCAATTAAGAAAGGGCAAACAGCTCCCAAAAAAGGCTATCACCAAAAACAGATGTTTATACTACATTTAATAGTAATTTAATTTGCTTTTATAGTTTAATAAGAGTATTTTGTTAAATTTGGGAGATCTGTTCTTGCTGTACCCAGAGAAACTGTTTTTTCTTTCTTGTCTCATTTTTTGGTTTTATCAGCTGAAAAGGAAACTGCCTAGATGCTGAGGATGACTATCAACTCACCTTTAAAAAGTATGGTCTGTTTCACAGGCAAGTTCCAAGGCAAACAGTCTGCACTAGTTGTTGGGAAGCACGGCAAATAGAGGAGTTTCTTTTTGTGAAACTGCGGGGTGCCCAGAGAAAATTCAAAATAATCTATTTTCTACTTTTTGGTAAAGCTGAAAAACATGCTTAACTATTGTATTTTTAAACAGGACATTAGCAAAGATCAAAATTTTAAAAAAGCTCAATTCTAATTCTGTCCCTATCTGGCCTATTCCCTCTTATGTTCTATTCTCTATGGGTGACTATCTTTTATGAACTGTGTTTTTAATCCTTCCAGTAGTTAGGCTAGCAGGAGTGCAAGTATATATAAATATATAAGAGTGTGTGTGTATGTGTGTGTGTATTTATTCCTCCTGCCCTTAAAGATACACAAGGGTATCTTCTTAATGTACTACAAAGATCACACTGAACAGTACATTAGGGGCTCTTTTATCCTGAAAATATTTTAAGTAATTTTATAAAAAGTTCTATCTTAAAATCTCTATCACTGAGCTATAAAAGTGTTCTGCCGGGCGTGGTAGCACATGCCTGTAATCCCAGCACTTGGGAGGTTGAGGCAGGAGGATCGATGAGAGTTTGAGACCAGCCTGGGCTACAAAGTGAGCTGAAGGCCAGCCCGAACTGCATAGTGAGATCCTGTCTCAAAGACCAAAACAAACAAACAAACAAAGAAACAAAAAAGGAAGTGTTCTGTAGCTAAGCATGGTGGCACATGCCTGTAATTCGGGAACTTGAGGTAGGAGGATCACTGAGTTCAAGGTCATTCTGGGCTACTGAGTGAGTTCAAGGCCAGCCTGGACAAAAACTGTCGGGCGTGGTGGCACAGGCCTGTAATCCCAGCACTCGAAGGCTGAGGCAGGAGGATCATTGCAAGTTTGAGACGAGCTTGGGTTATAAAGTGCACTCAAGGGCAGCCTGAACTGCATAGCGAGACCCTGTCTCAAAAAGGCAAACAAATAAACAAACACCAAACAAATGAAAATATTCTAGATGGTTATTTCAAAATCAAGTCTATCAAATTTGGTTGAAGAATTTGTAGTATGTTTCTATTAGTCTTTCAAGATTCACTGAATACCCTCAGTATAGCTTTATTTTACAAATTCTGTTTTATTTGAAAAGTTAGGGAAGAGGAATGGGGTCTATGGGGAGACTATCTTTTCCTCACTATCTGTTCTTTCCCCAGACCTTCTTTAACTTCTGACTGCATTTTTATTTCTTTTTTCCTTGCACATTCTATACTGACAAATGTGAAATATTGATTTGTTCACCAAATATCTATAATGGGCCATCTATAATTATTACTCCTTTTAGTACTGTACGCTAACCTTTACTGAGCACTCATGAATTGGTACTGTATAACTGCTTTACCTATACTATCATTTAATTCTCTATGAAGTTTTTTATTTCCTTTACAGTTGAAGAAAGGAAAGTCAGAAGATGAGAGTCAGAGAGGTTAACTTAATTACTGCCAGTAAGTGTCAAAATGTGATCAAGTCTCTTTTTCACCAAAACTTGTGTTCTTAACCATTATATTATAGAAAAGTCAGATAAATTTGGAGAATGCCATACAGTTCAAGATGTAAGAAGGAACTCAATAAGACTTCAGGCTGTAGAAGTAGCCACGACTTCAGATCATAGACTAGTACAGACTAGTCAAGACACATGAAATTCATTCTAAAGGGTATGTGAACAATCAGGAAGTTTTAAGTGTATAAACATGACAAAACATGCATTTAAAAAGACACTTCAGCAGAAGAAGATGGACTGGAAAGATTAAAAGTTGGTCAAGATAAAGGCAGGCATATCAATAAAAGTACAGATAAAAAATAAGGTTGTGAACAAGATGTATACGATCATTTGATATCAAGTACAGATTTGATAAAAATCTCCTAACTTTAAACTTTTTAAAAAATTTCTTTTTTTAAAAATTCACATTTGATTTAGAAGCCGTGTGGCACTAAACTTAAAAGTTATTTGCCAAGGTTAAATAAATCCAAGCCTAAAATACTTTTTGATAAACATTTCCAGTCTAATCAAATGTAAAGGCATGACTACAAATATTCAAAATTATGGACATCTAAAATTATGTATACTAAGAACAATGTAAAAATATATTACAATTACTTATATTAGTTAGAAAAGTTACATAATAAAAATTCAAAATCAAACTTTTCTTTTGGTGCTGTGCATCGAACTCAGGACCTTGCGCTTGCCAGGCCCTTGTGCCGCTGAGCTATATCCCAGGCCAAAAAACAAACTTTTTTCCACTGACAACTCAAATGCCTTCATTTTATAAATAATACAAAGAGACAATACAGAGAGCCTTACCAAATATGCTTGCAGTACCCAACTAATATTAGATCTGTGTTTACCGACTCCTTGATTTAATAATTTTTTTCACTTTTATACAAAGACCTGGAATTTTTTAAAAAGTTCTGATAAAACAAGATTGGGAAAAATCAAGCATGCTAACAGCTCGTAAGTATATGATCATGTATTAATGCTTTGTATTTAGAATTCATTTAATCTTTTATCTACTTTATATGACAGATTATTCACATTGTATATGCTGAATCTTGCCAAAGGTCGTATGACTACTGGACACCAAAGTTCATCTCTTTTTATCACAGCACACTAATACCAACATGAAGATAACTTACAAGTGTTTTCTTTCAATGTTCAAAAGACATATTTGCAGTAATTAGTTAAAAAGTCACTGAATACTGACCTGTAACATGCACCTGGATACAACAACTTCAGGTACTTCAGGAAATTTCTGTCGCAGGTCATGTAAAACCTGAAAATCAATTTGGTGGCTTCCTTGGGCCATTCGTATATTGCCTAATCAGGACTATCTGTACAGTAGGCAATTCTAGGCCTTAGTGGAATTAGTACTCATTTCTTCTGTCCAAGCATTTTCTGTAAAAGAAAGAAAAATATTTTTAATGAGAACTGATTATAGAATGAAAATTACTGAGGATTTAAAAATTCAGTACAAAATGGCATGTGACTTATTAGCACCCAATAACACAACTATGAAAACATTACTTAGACCTATTATGCTTTCTATATAGTTAATACTGTTTTTTCAGTATAATGCCTGAGAGCAAACTTTTACAATGTCTAATTCCTTTGTATGTACTTGTTGTGTAAAGACTGTGCCAAAGGGCATTCAAATAAGAAAGGAATTACTGTCATGGTTGTCCTTTATCATTCTTTTAAAGGAGGAGAATAAATAACTACTGATTTTTTTACTTAATGACTACAGAGCATAGCCTGGGTAAGAAATTTTAGTATGTCTACTTAAAATTCTAAAGGTTCTATAAGAACATTGCATGCTCTGCTTAAAACTTAATAACTGATAATCTAATTAATATTTGATATCTTGCTTTATTTTTCAGATATATTTAATCTTTAAATGTATAATCAACTCATTCTCAGGGGCTTTGCAGCATTTTATTCTTGCTGTGTCTATGAAAACAGTATTTACTAGGGCCTCAATCATAGTGGTTCTCATTTCATTTGCTGTGGAGCAGCCTGGGCATATGAATTTTCCGAAGTTCCCTAGGTGACTAATGTGTGGCCAGGGTCAAGAACTACTCCTAGGTCACTATTAAAAAAAAAGCAACCGTGAATCCGGTATGATGGTGCACATCTGTAATCCCAATACCCAGGAAGTGGGGGCAGGAGGATCTCCATGGGTTTGAGGCCTGCTTGGGTTTATTGTGAAGTCAAGGCCAGCCTGAACTCCATAGTGAGACTCAGTCCCAACACTCCCCGCTAAAAAAGAGCTACTCCTTCAGATTTACTCCTCATGTTCGTCATGCAAACCGTGTTTAACCTTGAAAATCTCTTTGGGACATAAAAGAATATAAATATATTAGAATGAAATCATTTAAAACCATAATATTTGAATAATTAAAATACAATTTAGAGTAAATTTAAAGACAATCTCTTTGAAACTAACTTCTTATTTATAGTATTTCTTTTAACTTCAAAAACATTAGAAAATACTTAACATTAAAAAATATAAGCCTGTAAATTTAGGTCTTTTGTTCATTATTGTGTACCTATTACCTTACAGTCTTCAGCATAATAGATGAAAGCATTTTTTAAGTACATTTGCTTATAACAGAATCCCCAAGTCTCCAAGAGAATAAAAAGTCATTCAGATATTTTATCATTCAATTGCATTTTACTAAATTACTTTGCTGATGTAACTTCAGTTTAGTTACATCTTATAGGTAAAAAATCACTGTTGAACCAAGCTATTTGCAGTACAGATTTCCTAAAAGTATTTTTATGTAAAACACACACACTTTTAGCACTCAAATATATTGCAGGAGATTAGAGAAATACTCGAAATGAGTAAATAAAATTTACAAATAATTAAAAGGGTGATAAACAGGCTACAGAGCTGCTTTTCAGAAAGCCTCCTGTGCTTCCTCTCCAGCTACAAAGCCTATTTCTCTGTACTTCTCCCTTTGGGACTAGAACTCCTTGAAACAACTACTCTCTCACAGAATAAACAATCTCTTCATTTGGCTTCTGAGATTTATTCTCTTGTTTTTCTTCTACCCACTGGCAGCATCTTCTCAGTTTTCTTTGCTTAGGTCCTCTTTCTTTTCTTTACATCTAATTTCTGGCAGGCAAATGGACTTCAGATATAGGATTTCTTTTCAATTTCACCTGCATTCCTCTTTAAGGTAATTTCATTTAAATGTACCTCTTCAAATCGTGTTATGCACTAAGGCCTGACAAAATTATTGTCTCCAAACCCAGTCTTTTCCTTAACTCTAGAATAATATAGCCAACTGGTTATCTGACATTTCCTTAGGTTAAAATGCATTTCCAAACATACCATGTCCAAAATTGAACTTTTTATTCCCCTATATCCAAGCTAACCCTTCCCAGTCTTTTCTATTTCATCATTCATCCAGTTGGTCTTTCTCCCACCCCACATTTACCATCAAGTCTGTTATCTACAGAAAATACTTGGAATCTGATCACTTTCTCCCACCCATTAACTGTTTTTGTCTAAGCCACCATAATTCACCTAGAATACTTACTACTATACAAATCTTCTAAATGGTTTCCTTGCCTTCCTTGTTTGGTCTGGCTCCCAGTCTTTTCTCTAGTGACCAGAGTCAACTTTGTGAAAAGTAATCAGAGGGATCACTCCCTCTGCCCAAAATCAGACTTCACAAGGCCTCTTGCTCACTATTACTCCTCTACTTTATCTCTTACCATTCTCTTTGTTCCTTAGTTTTAAATGATCTTCTGGAGACCTCTCAAAGAAGCTAATCAAATTCCTTCCTCTGGGCTTTCAGACTTATTGCTCCTCCTGCCTGGAACACTTTTCCTTAAGATACCTGCATGGCTCTTCCTCTTATTTCATTAAGGTCTCTGATCATATGACAGTTCCTCAGGGACTGCTTCCTTGGCCAACTTTTCCATCTAAAATGCTGCCACACTTCTGTCCCTCACCCCCCGTCATATCTTCACACTGCTTCCTCCCACTCCACCCCACACTGGATATGGAATCCAGGGCCTGCAAATGAGCTACATCTCCTTGTCCCATTTTTTAAAGAAAGAGTCTTGCTAGGATGCTAAGTTATCCATGTTGGACTTGAACTCCCAATCCTCCTGCTTCAGTTACCCACATACCTGCAATTATAAGTGGATGCCACTGTTGCCCAGCTACCATTTTTCTTTAGGTATACTTCCTACATAGGCTGAACAGCTCCTGTAGACTAACTCTTCGTGAATTATCAATTATATATACTATACAATGTATAAGAAACAATGATTGGAAGGCAAAAAGGCAGGAACAGAAATGGTGGTGATGGGGAGGCCAGTATTTGGAAGGAGAGAACAGCAAAGATGATCTTCCATTTTTACATGGCTTTTAGTCAGAAAGCAGGGTCCAATTGGTTTGGGGGTAGTTAAGACCCAGAAGAAAATGTAGTCTTTATTTGCTTGTTGAACCAAATGATAGGCTTTGGCATGATCAAAAAAGCTGAAAGGAGAAAACTACAAAGAGGAGGCCCTAGATCCTTTGCACACATGTCTGATCTCTAAACTTGAGATCGATTCTAAGTAGCCAAGCTAAGGTTAAAGTAACTGATCTGAGATTCCAGAATTTGTAGTTTGTTGGTTCAGTCAAGTTAACTGTCCACTAAAATGAACCAAACAGCCAGAAAAACTAATTCACATGCAAGAGATGAAAATCAATGAAGAACAACCCCAAGATGACTGAACTGGTGGAAATGGGATGTAAGAATTTTGGAAATTCTATTTGATCCAGCTATTCCCCTTCAAGGTATCTTCTTGAAAGAATTAAAGACATCATATTACCGTGATATATGAATACCTATGTTTGTTGCAGCTCAATCCAGAATAGCTAAATCTTGGAGGCATCCTGTATGTCCATCAACAGATAAGTGGGTAAAGAAAATATGGTATTTATAAACAATGGACTAATACTGTCATAAAGAAAGATAAATTTAAGTTATTTGTAGGAAAATGGATACACCTAGAGACCATAATATTAACACTACATCAGACACACAAATCTAACAATTGCATGGTTTCTCTTATGAGAAACTTAAATTATAAATAAAGACCAAAATAAAAGACAGAGGGGGAATAGATCTTTCTCGAATGGGAAGGGGATCAAGAGATGGAAAGAGGGAAGGGAGAGGGGAGGGAAAGGAGTGGTGTGTTAAGCACATGTACCAACTCCGCACAAGGAATGTAGACATTATGTGCTGTACACAAAAGACTAAAGGAGGTTAAAGAAAAACAGTTTTAAAGCAGTTATTTTAACTACCATGGATGTAAGGACATAAATATGTTTGGACTTCTCAGCAAGAAAACAAACTTTTTGAAGAATCAAATGAAAATTCAAGAACTAAAAAATAAAATATCTGAAACAAAAAATTCACTGGATGAACTTAAACACAGACTGAAAATGACAGAAAAGTCAGTGAATTTGAAGACAAACCAATCTGAAGGATGGAAAAAAATAAGACTGGGGAAAAAAGGTATAGAACCTTATAGTCCCATGGGAAAGTATAAAAAACTAATGTATCTATAATTAGAGATTAGAAGGAGACAGGACAGAGAACAAGGTAGGAAAAGTATCTGAAGTAGTCATAGTTAAAAATTTCCCAAGTTGGTAAAAGATAAAAGTATAAGTTTAAGACAATAAACCTCAAACAAGCAAACAAACCAAAAAAAACCCCACACATACCAAAAACAAAAACCACAACAACAAACCCCAAAACAAACAAATTAACCATACAGAGGCACATTATACTCAATCTGCTGAAAATCAAAGCAAAACAAAATCTTAAATCAAAGAAATGACATCTAACTTACACAGAAAGAACACTTTGAGTAAATACTGACTTTTCATCAGAAACAAATGGAGACCAGTAGATAGTGGAATGTCATAATTTAGGTGTCGAAAGGGGAAACACTGAACTGTCAACTCACAAGCTATATCTAAAAACAGTAAACTTTAAAGATGAATGCTAGATAACTTTTAAAACAGACTTTGTGGACAAGTAAATGATTTGTAAGGACAACCTAAATATATTACTGAAACAAACTGGTACTTGCTTAATTTCCAAGTGAAACCAAGAAGTACCTTAACAAGCATATTTTGGAAAATTATTTCTTATAGTAAACAGAAACGTATTTTCTATCGTTAAGATATAAAATGATTGTTCTTCTGAGCAAAGAACAAAGAAATCATACTTAGAAAATGTTTCCAGCATTACATGCAGTTCTGGTACCTAAATTTCCACCTACTATAAACACATAGAGCTGATTTGTCCTGACCATTCTCCGGCTTCCCTAGTCCACCAAGCCAGACAGGATGGGATTCACAAAACTTTCAGAAAGAAGATAATTACAGTGGTACCTTGGTTCACAAACAGAAGTATCTGGCAAATTTTTGTTTTTGTTTGTGAACTCTGTTTCAGATGAAGAACACAACCACAGCCAATTCTTTCCCAGAATCGTGGAATGAAATAAATTCATGAACGGAGGCATCACTGTATTGTGCTAAGTTGTTCCAAAGCCTAGGAAAATTAGTTTTGGCATTACTTTAAAATGTTATCATCTTCTGATGCAAAAATCTGGTATACACCAACAAAACACCGAGATACTACTAGCATTTACTTAAGAGAACTGGTGCATGATTTTTAAATACAGTAAAACCTTGATTTGACAGAATAATTCATTCTGCTCTGAATCCAAAGTACTTGTATAACAAGGCAGAGAAAAAGAAAAATGAGTTATGTGACATCTGGCAGGAGTACTTACTACTCAAATTGCAAGACATCGCTTGTTTATCAACTTAAAATTTCTTAGAAATGTTTGCTCGTCTTGCAGAACACTCACAGACCAAGTTATCCACAATCCAAGATTTGACTGTATTAAAAAATGAAATACAGCAGTTACAGAGTTGGCTTTACTATGGGTCTCTAACGTAGTTTAACATAATTATACTTCTATTATATTAATACTGTACAGTTAAGGAGAACACTTGTACTAGTATCTAGGTGTATTGACTGTATATTCAGAAAAATTCATTCTTGCCTGGGGGGGGGGACTCAGCTTTAGTTCTATCAAGATGGCATAAACTAAGTTGATTCAGAATTTCTTCTATCATAAACAATAAAAACTACTGAAAAGAAACCCCTAAATTTATTTCAGTACATAGCAGTGCCTGAAATTTAAAAATTCCCTGGTGCCCAAAACAAAGATGGGACTAAAAGCCAATACAATATGAGCAACAGTCAAAATGCTGTGTTGTATGGGATAGTGAGGAAAAGCAGGCCAGGAGAGGGGCAGCAGTTACTAGAACTGGAGGCACTGAAATGGGGATTTTAATTCTATGTGGACTATAGACAGACGATAGGTCCTCATGTGGGAGGTGATAGGTATAACGATGGAGTCATGTCTTTACAGAAGAGGCCAAGGGGAGTTTGACCTTTCCACCATGACAGGACACAGCTGCCAGGTGTAAACCATGAACCAGAAAGCAGGTCCAGTCTAGATTGACACCTTGATCTTGGACTTCATAGCCATCACAACTGTGAGAAATAAACCTACTGTATAACAGCTGCCCAGTTTATAGTATTTTGTTACAGCAGCCTCAATAGAACAAAGTATCACCTTATTTCTGCAGCTTCCTTTTAACTATCACTTATCTCAATGATCCACATGTATGTACATGGAAAAACTGTCTTAATTTTAGTCAACTCTCAATTACAGTCACAACATATTCTGATATCCTACTTCTAGGAAGGCCACTGTAAGTTTTCTATAAATACCTGTTATTGACACGTTGTATCTATATTTCTAAGGAGTAAAGTGGAATTCTCATGATTTCTAGTTAGTAAGGAATCAAACTCAGGACCTTGTTCTTGCCAGTCAGATGCTGCACAGCTGAGCTATATCCCTGGCCCAAACATTTGGTGTTCTTTAAAACAGTGGGGAATAATATTAAATAAGTGGTATAAGAACAAATTCAGTAATTCCAATTTAAAGAAATCTATGTGTAGATTGAATGTATCATTCACTGTGTCATTATCATTTCTCTAAATTCATTACCACGGGTGTTACTGAGAGTTACACTAGAAGCCAAGTGTTTTTGTGGTAATGTTTGAGAAATGCTATTGCTTAAAGTTAAGAAAGTTATTTTATTCCTGGACTTTACTATGTATTGTGACTCTTGGGTAGTAATGGCAGATGTGGTATTTCTCAAACTTAATTGGCATCACTCTATTTAACTGTAAATATCTTGATGTGGAAAGCACATAGGAAATGCTATTGTACAGAGAAGGTATTCAAACCGCAGTAGTATCTTCTGACTCAGGATTGTCTAGGGAAATAATCTGACACACATTTAAAATATATGCAGAAGAAAGTTCAAGACATAGCTTTCTAATCAAAATACCTAGAGAGAACCAAAAAGCTTATCTTTTGAGAGAGCTGCTTCACTAGCTGCAATCTATCAATTCTTTTATCTTTTTATTTTTTTTTATTTTAAAGAGCGTAGTACACGAGAAACAAACAAACAAAAATATAAACAGTAGCAGCATACCAGTATTACGAACATAAACAAATCAAAGCAAAAACATTCAAAGTGATACAGGGTCTCAAGACAAATTAATACAAATCAGCAGTGGTTGTTAGACTGCATACTGCTATCCTCAACTACATTGCTCAGATTATCAGATGTAACAATGAAAGATTGCTCAAACCATCAAAGAGATTAAGAAAATAATTCTTCAATAAAACATTAGAGATATTAGAGAGCTTCACTAGACATGATGGTAGGAGTTCACCATTGCAATCTATCAATTCTTGACTTACACAGTCATTGAAACATAAAAACCTAAAAGAATCCATGGAAATAGTTATATTACTTGTGGCAAAAACCGAAATCATATTGTTATGTAAGTCATTTTTGTTGGAGAAAAATTAAGATGAAGGAATATAAACAGAAAAAATTTTGTGTAGGAGTGGTAGGATCATGGAAACTTTTTTTTTTTTTTGTCTTTTTCAGACAGGGTCTCGCTATGCAGTTCAGGCTGGCCTTGAGCTCACAACAATCCTCCTGCCTCAGCCTCCTGAGTGTTGGGATTACAGGAGTGCACCACCATGCTTGGCTGGATCATGGAAACTTTTGATCCGTTAAAAAAATGATGAAAGACTTGGGATCTAGCTTAGTGGTAGAATGCTTGCCTAATATGCGTGAATCCCTGGATTTGATAACCAGCACCATAGGAAAAAAATGATTAACATCAAAATGTACATTAATACATCATATGGTGAAGGTAAAAAGAAATAGGCATAGTAAGGTACTGATAGTGCAACTGCTACAGATACCAATCTGGCAATCTCTATAAAAATGAAAGCTGTGTATTTATTTGATTTCATAATTACTTTTATCAATCTGTTGTAGATACAGTTGCACAGAAAATTGCATGTATTTACCATAGCCCGGTAATGACAAACCACCCAAAACTACCCATGAGGTGTTTTAACAGATGGGAAAGAAGTCCTGAACTTTAAAAGATGCATATTTTTGTACAGAAAAAGGTGACCTTACTCATCACAAAAAAGGTGTGCTTCATAGGGCAACAGTTTTCAGTTTGGTCGGTGGACCACCTGTATCAGAGGCTCTGAGAATTCCAGACACTTTAATGACTGCTGTGAACCCACTAGGACTGCTATAAAGTGACAATTGATCACATGATTTTTCAAGTTTACTCCTCTTCCTGTAGGGCCTCTAGTTAATAATACAGTACATGGAAGAAACCAGGAAAAAGACTTACCAGAAATCAAGCTGACTACCATCAAAGAACTACTTCTAAGAGGAACCTGTAGCACTATTATAAAGGAAAACAGATGAGAAACACTGAAGAATTCTGTGAGCTAAAAAAAAAAAAAAACAAAAACGGGCTAGAAGTAAAGAAATAAAAGGAGATTATTAAAGTAAGTCAATTACAAACAAGCCTCTAATGGGAATGGTTAGAAATTTTTCTGTAATTTGATGCTACTGAAAAGAAATAACTGGTGGAATGGAAAATTATCTCTGTAAGTGTACACTAACGGGTCCTACAAATATATATCTAGTACCTCAGGACAAATGTACAATAAACATATGTTAACTTTATGTCAACTAACAATGAAGGTTCTATATTGTATAACACAAACTATTTGTTTACTACCAAGCAGTACCATAAAGAAGGAAATGGTAGAGCAAAACTGAATTACAGGCAATCCAATTTTTTTTTTTTAATGTTTTGAGACAGAGTCTTGCTATGTAATTCAGGCTGGTCTTGAACTCACCATGTAGCCCACCTCGAACTCGTGGTGATTCTCCTGCCTCAGCCTCCAAAGTGCTGGGATTATAGACATGAGCTACTATGCTCAGTGAAATCCAACTTATAAAATAAAAGGAATAACTGTTAATGTTCTTTGTATAAACTACTCAGATTTACAAAATTTTAACTTGACTGAGTATTGATTTGTATTATTGAATCCAAGGCTTCATATATCTACGCAAGTGTCCAACCACTAAGCTACTCCTGGCCTTATTATTTGAAACTCTTACAGAAAATGAAATTTATGAGTAAGTCAGTCTGAGACAGGCATAAATTTTCCTAAAGAGGAGAATTTCCTAAGTACAGAATTTAAAAGAAACAATATTCTACTTTAGCCATTTATGTTTCTAAAAGTTTTTGGTGAAAAAATGCTAATAGTTAAAAACAGAGGTAAATTCACATTGCTAAACATTTCAACCTCAATTTCATATAAATGGACATTGTTTTATTCACAACTGAATGAAATAATGTGTATAAAATACATATATTTGACACATAGTGGCAGCTAGTTCAGTAAAAACTCTAGGATTCCACATTTATCAAGCATAATATGGGGCTGGGGATTTAGCTCAGCGGCAAAAGCGCCTGCCTGGCATGCGCAAGGTCGTGAGTTCGGTTCCCGGTACCGGAGAAAAACCAAAAAAAA